AAGGACTTTGTAAAGATTTTAAAAACACAGGAATGGAATACACAGGAAACGCGGGACACTATTAAAAGACCAAATCTATGCATCATAGGCATATATGAAGGAGAAAAAACTCTCAGGTCAATGAGATATTCAACAGGATTATTGAAGTAAACTTCCCTACATTAAGAAAAGACCTACCTATACAGATTCAAAAAGCACATAGAATACTAATTAGACATGACCAAAACGGAACATAAACTCCCCATAGCATATCATAGTAAAAACATTAAATGTACAGAACAAAGACACCTACTAGAGACAAACGGCAAGTTACATATAAAGGAAAAGCCATCAGAATTACAGCTGACTTTTCAATGCAAACTAAGAAAGCCAGAAAAGCCTTAACCAAAGTATTCTCGGTTCTTAATGACCATGGATGCTAACCCCAAATACTTTAGCCAGAAAAACTATCGATCACAGTTAAAGGGGAATGGAAAATTTTCCATGACAAGAGTAGGCTGGAAGAATTCATGTCCACAAAACAAACCCTACAGAGAATATTCAAATACAAAGGACTGAAGACAGGAATGAGTATAACCAAGAGACTACAGAAAGAAAACAAAGGAAGGTATAATAATGGAAACACAAAGAAGGGCCACAAACACAAATAAGTTGAAATGATAGTATCCAGTACATCTTTCAATAATACTATATCAATGGCCTCAACTCCCCTTTCAAAAGACACAGGTTAACAGAATGGATCAAGAAAGAAAGCCTATCTCTATGCTGTTTTCATGATGTTCATCTCACCTTTAAGAATAGACACTACCTTACGGTAAAAGGATGGAAAAAATATTTCAAGCAAATGGCTCTAAGAAGACAGCCGGTGTTGCAAATCCAACATCTGATGAAATAGACTTCAAATTAAAACTAATCAGAAGAGATAAAGAGAGTCACTTCATTTTAGTCAAAGGAATAATTGATCAAGAAGATACTGCAATTATGAACATATATGTACCAAATTCTGATGTAACCAATCTCATAAAAACAGTACTCCTAGGCTATAAAACACAAATTAAGCCCAACTCAGGAGGTGACTTCAATACTTCACTATCTCCAAAACATAGGTCAACTGGAAAAAGAAGAAACAAAGAGACATCTGAATTAAATAACATGTTACATGAAATGCAACTAACAGACAGCTATAGAATATTCCACACAAGCACCAAAGAATATTCAAGTTTTTCTAAAATTGACCATATTCTGGAACACATAACAAATCTCAACAAATACAAAAACACTGAAATAATTCCATGCATTCTACTGGACCACAGTGCAATGAAGTTTATAATCAATAGTAAAAGAAGCTCTAGTAACTACTTGAACTCATGAGATTAAACAACACACACCTGAATGATAAATGGGTCAAAGAAGAAATTAAGAAAGAAATAAAAATATTACTGTAACTAAATGTAAATGAGATACAATACAACAAAACCTCTGAGACACTTTAAAAGCAGTCTTAAGAGGAATGTTTATAGCTCTTAGTGCCTACATTAAAAAATCAGAAAAAGCACATGTAAATAACTTAACATTGCAACTCAAGACTCTGAAAGACAAGAACAAACCAACCCCAAACCTAGTAGATGAGAAGAAATAACAAAAAACAGAGAAGAAATTGATGAAATAGAAACAACAAATATTATTTTAAAAATCAATCATTCTAAAAGCTGGTTATTTGAAAAAGTTAAAAAAGATGGACAGACCCTTACTCCATTTAGCCAAAGAAAAGAAAGAGCAAATCCAAATTAACAAAATGAGAGATGATGAAAGGGGATACATCACAACAGACACTAAAAAATTTCAGAACATTGTAAAACAATACTTTAAAATTCTATACTCCATTAAATTTGAAAATCTAAAAGAAATGGATGAATTTCTAAAGTCATGGACACTAAAACCAAGAAGAGATCAACAGCTTAAGCAGACCCAGTACAAACAAGGAAATTAAAACAGTAATACAAAACCTCCTGACTAAAAAAGTGCCCAGGCACAGATGGATTCACAGCAGAATTCTGCCAGACATTCAAAGATCTACAACCAATACTGCTTAAATTATTCAAAGGGAGAACTCCAAAATTCCTTCTATGAAGCCAGTATCACTCTAATGCCAAAACCAGGTAAAGACAGAACTAAAAAAGAAAACTATAGGCCCATGTCCTTAACGAACATAGATAAAAGGTTCTCAACAAAATAATCACAAAGCACATTCAGACACACATCAATAAGATCATCCACCAAGATTAAGTAGGCTGTATTCTAGAGATGCATCTCTCTATATACGTATACTTCAATATATGTAAGTAAATAAATGTAATAAACATATAAATGGACTTAAGGACAAAAACCACATGGTCATCTCAATAGATTCAGAAAAGACCTTGGATAAAATCCAACACACATTCATGTTAAAAGTCCAAAAGGAATTGAACTAGAGTGAACATACCTCAACATAATTAAAGCTACATACATCAAACCCACAGCCAACATCATTCTAAATGGAGAAAAACTGAGGCATTCTCATCAAAATCAGGAACCAGACATGGCTGTCCACCATCTCCACTCCTTTTCAATATAGTGTTTGAAACCCTTGCAAGAGCAATAAGACAAGATAAGGAAATTAAAGGAATACCAATTGGAAAAGAAGTCAAATTATCTCTCTTTGCAGATGATATGATATTATACATAAGAGATCCACAAAATGCCACCAGAAAACTGTTAGAAATGATTAACACTTTCAGAAAGTGGCAGGATACAAAATCAGCTTACAAAAATCAGTAACCTTTCTATATACCAAAACAAGCAATTAGAAAATGCATTCAAGGAAATCCTCCCATTCACAATAACCTCAAAAAATAAAATATTTAGGAATAACCCTAGAGAAAGACATTAGAGATCCCTACAATAAAAATTATAAAGCTTTAAAGAAATAGAGGAAGACACTAGGAGATGGAAAGACCTACCATGCTCATGGATTGGTGGAATTAATATTGTGAAAATTACCATCTTACCAAAAGCCATCTACAGATTCAATTCAATGTCAATCAAACCCATGACATTCAACACAGAGCTAGAGAAATATCATCCCAAAATTCATATGGAATCACAAAAGTCCCCTGATAGCCAAAACAATCTTGGGAAAAAGAACAACACTGGGGGGATCTCAGATTATATTGCAGGCAATAGTCATAAAAACAGCATGATACTGGCACAAAAATAGACACATAGATCAATGGAACACCACTGAAGACACAAACCCCAGTACACACAGTTGCAGCCTCCTGATATTTGACAAAAGTGCCAAGAAGACACAATGGAGGAAAGACAGCATCTTCAACAGATGGTGATGGCAAAACTGGATCTCCACCTGTAGAAGAATGAAATTGAACCCTTATCTTCCACCCTGTACAAAATCAACTCCAAATGGATCAAAGACCTCAATATAAAAACTGAACCTCTGAAGCTGCTAGAAGAAAACATAGGCAGTACCCTCTATAATATAGGCATAGGAAAGGACTTTCTCAATCGGATACCAGCTGCTCAGGCATTAAGGTCAACTGTCAATAAATAAACTTCATTAAGTTGCAAAGCTTCTGTACAGCAAAAGAAACAACCAAGGAAATCAAGAGGAAACCCACTGAGTGGGAGAAAATCTTTACAACCTCACATCTGACAGAGGATTAATATTCAGAATATACAAAGAACTCAAAAACCAAAGAAACAAGAAAATTATGACCCAATAAAAAGATGGGCTATAGGCCTGAACAGAGAGTTCTCAAACAAAGAAATAAAAAATGACTAAGAAACACCTTTTAAAATCCCCAACATCCTTAGTAATTAGAGAAATGCAGATAAAAGCAACTGTAAGAGTCCACCTTACCCCAGTCAGACTGGATAATATGAAGAGAACAAACACCACCAAATGCTGGCAAGGATGAGGAGAAAGGGGAACGCTCATTCACTGCTGATGAGAATGCAAACTGTACAACCACTATGGAAAGGATGTGAACTGTCAAAAAACTAAAAACGAATCTATCACATGATCCAGCTATACCGCTCCTTGGCATATACCCAAAGGACTCATCCTACTGGAGAGACCCCTGAACATCCATGCTTTTTGCTTCTCTCTTCACAATAGCTAGTAAATGGAAACAAGCTAAATGTCCCTTAACTTGTAAATGGATAATAAAAATGTGGTACATCTACACGATAGAGTTCTACTCAGCAGTAAGAAAAACTGAAATTTTCAGGTAAGTGGATGGAATTAGAGACCGTTACACTAAATGAAGTAACACAAACACAGAAAAGCAAGTGATGTATGTTCTCCCTCATTTGAGGATCATAGCACCAATCCCATATATGTGAATGTATATCCTGATGTTACAGCTGGAGTCAGGAAAATGGAAAGGAAACACAGTAGTAAAGGAAAAGAAAGAACTTTATCGACGGGGATAGTGGAGAACAGATGTTGCCACAGGGGAGGTGGAGAAAGTGGGAGTGTATGGCTGGGGGGGACATTCAGGGGGCCATGATGGGGGAGGAAGGAACTCAGGAGAAGGGGATGATAGGAATCAGGTCTTACTGGAAGGAAGGGAGGGGATAATGGGGGCAATAGAACTGAGGATGGAGAAGGGAGGTTGTATGCAGGGAGAGAGAGTAGAAATAAAGGGCTCTTGGGGGGTGCAGAGAAGCCGGAGGGAAATGCGTTGCCTCAGAAACCCCCTGAAAATGCACATACGGTTCCTGAGCATTAGTACATATGTATACCTGGGAGCTGCTTGGCAAAGAACACAGTGCCATGCAGGAGAGACCTCCCTTGGAGTAGTTGGTTAGAATGGCCCAAGAGACTCACAAACTCACATAGGCTATTGCCAGAGCTCAGAACTGGAAGATAAGACCCTGCTGCTGAAGACAGGACATACATGGTCCACAGTACTTGAAGCAATGGAGCAGGAACTGACCTGGAAGTCTTCTACCCGAAGTTTAGCTCTCGTTGTTCTGGAGGATACTATGTAAGCTGCTAAGGGAGAAAAATAAATCAATGGTCCAACCCAGCCCCAAAGTCTAAAATCCATAACGAACAACACAGCAAATTACCTCCATTAGCGCAGTAGTGGCACTGTTATCTGGGGGGCAATCAACAGCTATCTAATTGGACTTAATGCCCTCTCATTGGGAGTGAACTCACAGGTGGCACTGTAAACACAGATACACATGGCTGGAGAGGTCATAGATTCTAGAGAAAAACCCATCTCTGTCATGTCTCTAGACAAATGAAATTTTTTACTATATGCTAAATATGGATCCTTATTATTTACAGACAATTATACCATACACCATTCATCAAAGAAGCTTCTTTTTGCAAGAGGTGGAGGTTACTGCAGAATCCCACAATGGGTCAGACATAGAGAATATATGTCTGAGAGATGCCCAGTCCTAGCTGACATCTCTACAGTGGAACCTCTACACCTAAGTCTCATGGAACATAGTAGAACAGGGGATAGAGAGAAAACTAGTGCATCCCTCAGCTCTCACCAGTGAAGCTTCCTTATGTGATAGAGTGAGATGCACTCAAAAGGCCAACTGGTCAACTTTTAAAGAATAAGAGACTCAGAGTGTGTGTCCTTGGATATGACTCCTATATCAAACCTCTCCCACCTACAGCAAAGGGACCATTGCAGAAGAGGGGACAGAAAGATTGTAAGGGCGAAGGTTGGTTCATGAACATGGGGAAGCAGAGACTTTCAGGTCCCTGGAAGTTTGAACATGTTAACTTAAGGCAATGGTGGCATAGAGCACAGGACCCATGTCAACTCAATCAGACAAGGGCCCGGAGTGGAGCGAGGGAAATGGGTGGTGGGTTGGCCCTAGTCTGAGAGCTACTGGAGACTGATTACTACTGGGTGAGGGAGCATAGGCCTTACCAATGATCTCTAGATAGGTTGACTAGACTCCAGTGAATGAATTTGCACCCAGGGACATCTGGGTACAAAAGCTTGACCAGACAGGGCTTAACATGTATGGCAGAATACATGAGGTCCAGTGGAGGGATATGGATGGGGGAGGGCCTCTAAATTTGATTAAGAACTTTCATATGAAATGTACAAAAGCTCAATAAAAAAAATTTAAGTAGATTTTGAAAAATGTCAGGAAATCTTTTAACTCAAGATTAATCTGTTCCTTTTGAAAAACAAAATTGAGATAAGATCTATGTAGTTTAAAAGTATGATTTTATTGGTAGAAAGTGTTACAGTGGCAAGAAAGGCCTCTTATAGGCCTGGATGGAAACCCAATGCTCCAGTTCAGCCAGGTTAATCACCTGTCCACTGGACCATCTCCAAGAAGGCAGGCTCGCCTTAGTCAAGCTAAAGAAATAGGGTGAATAACTAGACTACTAATGAGATGGTGAAACTTTCTGCCAGGAATCCCTAGTAACCATGTAACTGGTACGTCTGCATGCTTTTCTGAATTCCTTTCCTTCCATCTCTCTTCTAAGCAAACCTTCTCTAACACTTTGTGCTGCTTCAGCATTTTGGGTTTCATATTGTTTCTTTAAAGCCCTCTTCCCTGTGGCTGAGAGTTCACCACACGCCAGCCCTTCATGCTGACTTTAAATGGCATAGCTGTTTCCCTCCTTTCCTCCGTTCTCCTCAGGTGCCTGTTGAGATTTACAGCTTGCATGACCAGAGGCATTTTCTTTTAAAGTAACAAAGTTGGCCTCAAGCTTCCATTTGAGTCTACCCATAAATTCTTTTATTAATGAGATGAAGAACCCTAAGGAGGACCTTGTTTCCCCTGTATCATCTGGTAACCCAGATGAGATCCCAAAGGTTCCAGTAACAAAGGTTTCTATGAGATTGTGCTCCCCCATCTACAATGGCATCTAAATGATCATCATTACTAAACTTTCACACCAAATTAAAAGTCCTCTAGTCCGGTAACACATCAGTACCAAGTCCAGGCTCATGCCAGGAAATGGCTATGAGCTTTGCCTCAGATAGAAATATGTGTGTGATGACAAGCTAGAGAGGAATAGTTTCTCATTTTTCACATCATTACAAATTTTCTTGAAGTTGTTTTGAGACAAGGGCACATGAGGCCTAAGCTGGCACTGAACTCATGATGTACCAAGAATTGTTTTCCTGGAGAAACATGAACAACCATTTATTTACCCCAGATAAGGCCCCAGAAAAGTAATGATTCAAAGTACTGCTTGGCAAACCAAGGAGTTTATTGGGCTTACTTACAGAGCATTTGTGAGGGATCACTTACAAGAGCGTGGAGAACAAGGTGACTACATCCACCGAACACTGGTGCAGACTCCCGGAAGCCGCATCCCTGTCACACACTGTAGGCAGCTTGGCTCAGCAGTCTCCACTCCTCATCCCTTGTAACTGCTCATATAATTTTGAGGATGGGACTTGTGAATCTTGTAAGTTTCAAGAACCTCCTGAGACTAGTGAGTTGTTGCTTCCTGAGCTTTGTAAGACTTTCTAACTTCCCAAGTTGAGGGGCTTCCCTCCAGGATGTTTAAATCTAAGGAGGACCTTTCAGCTGGGCGTGGTGGTACACTCCTTTAACACAGCGCTCAGGAGGCAGTGGCTGGTGGATCTCTGTGAGTTCAAGGCCAGCCTGGTGGTCTACATAGTGATTTCTAAGCCAGCTGAGGCTACAGGGAGACCCTGTCTCAAAAAGACCAAAAAAAAAAAAAAAAATGAAGGAGGATCTTAACACAGTAGGGATGCTGACCCTGAACTTCTGATCTCCCTGCTTCCAAGTGCTGGGATTACAGGCATCTGCCCCTACAGCTGGTCACATCAGTGTAATTTTAACCCACATGCTTCCTCCTTTTTCCTTCCTTAGATCTGTGGAGCAAGGTTCCTGAAGTGATGTGTCCAGATATATGTGGTCCACGGTGGTCAACCAACAGATCTGCAGGTAACATAAAAGTTTCAGAAGCAAAACAAGCGGGGCAATTATGTTAACCAACATGCCAGAAAATTATGAAGTAAAATGATTTGATTTTCCCTATCACATGTATAATGATGATCACTGTCTCAAAAGCTGTGGGCATTGTGAAAGTGTGCTGATCAGGCCTAACTGCACACTCCTCAGTTAACAGAATCTACCTTTTGTCTCTGAAGATGAATTTTTCCACCATTTACAGTGTATTTTTATAACTGTGAATTCAGTACTTTCTATTATAAGTTCCATACTGAGAAAATGTTCCTATTTGAAAATGTGGACCAATGACTCCAAAAGGGTTCAATGATGCATGAAGGCAGTGAGGATAATAATAATAATTTTGAAGACTCTGATATCAGACATGTAAAAAGGACACAGAACTCCACTACAAACCCAGAACTGGAATCTATGTGTATCTGAAAAAGTAAATCTGGTGTGATGACTTTGCATACGCAGATGGAAAGGGAGGCGTGTGCCTGAGGGTGGATGTTTAGAGGAACAGCAAACCAATTTGCTCCCAGCCCACGTCTATTTTGTAACATGGAAAAGTGACATAAGCACATAGAAACTTCATTTTTAAAGGAAACAAAGTAACTTTTAGGAACAGCTTGAACTCACATAGCAAAAATATCTGATTGTGTTTGTCAATGAATTTTGTCATCTTGATGGAGAGCCTGGTGGAATAGTCAAGGAAAATGTGGAAAATAATCCTTGTTTTCTCTCTGTGTCTGTCAGTAAAGTTCAGCTGACAAGTTTGTGATTACAGCGCTGACACAGCCAGCTAGAACTACTCACCTTTGGTCTTGATGACGCTTCCTCAGTTCTGTTTGTCTCAGACGGAGACTTCTGCGATAATTTTCAGATAAGGGATTTCTTTTTTAACATTTTCTTTATTTGTAAATTGATGATAATTTGTCTAGTTTTGAGGCTCTGCTGATAGACAATCAAGATGTAAGTTTTCTTCTCACTGTAACCCAATGGGTAAAGTAGAAAAGCTATGGGCTACTTCCCTCGGGGTCCAGGTTTCGAGGCTTGAGCCCACTGGAGCAGGCTGCAGCCTAAATAAAATGCATGCTTCCTCCACCCTCCCAGTGTCCTGCCTGCTCTTTCCCACTACAACCCGAACAAGAAGGAAAAACAAACTATAGAATGGCATCATTCATCGTGGCCCCTCTCTTTTAGTTCTAATTAAGTCTCCTTAAAATGCTCATCTGTTAAATTCTGTCACTTCCCATGGCATCCTGTCATCTATAGACAACGACAAGTGGTATCTTGCTTTGCTGTAATTCTTTTTTTTTTTTTCTTATCGAGTTTATTGTTTAGGCTGGTCTTCTGGCTTAGAGCTGAAGAGATGCAATAATGATTAACCTGATTGAGAATGTTTGAAAAGTTACACCACTGCCTGGAATGCTTGCTGTGGATTCCTGGAACCCGTTAGCACATTAGAGAACTTCTGTTCCAAGTTAAGAGTTTTTTTGTTTTCTGTTTTCTGATTGTTTTTTTATTTTATGTGTATGAGTGTTATGCCTGTATGTGTTTAAGTGCAGTTGTGTCATGCAGTGCCCACGGAGAACAGAAGGGGGCACTGGATTCCCTGGAATTGCAGTTATGGACAGTTGTTGGTTACTATGTACGAGCTGAGAATTGAACCCAGGTCCTCTGCAAGAACAGCCAGTGCTCTTAACCACTGAGCCATCTCTCCAGCCCTGTAATTCAAGAGTTTTTAATATTAGTTTATATCTTTATAGGCATCACTTGAGAAAATTAAACAGTATTTCCCCTTTTAATATGCTCCTGTGTAGAATTTGCATTGCAAGATTTCCTGAAGAAAATCTCAGCTTTAAATCAGACCTCCACAACCTGTCATTTTTTTTTTTTTGCTTATGATTCATTTAGACTGTTTCATCTATGTTTAGTCATCCCTTCTTGGCCATTTCCTTCCATCCTTCAACTGTGGCACAAAAATATTAAACAAAAAAAATCCCAGAAGTAAAACCTTCATAAGTTTTAAGTTGCAAGCTATTCTGAGTAGAATGAAGATTTCTTTCAGCATTTTACTCTACCCAGAACACACATCATTCCTTTGACCAGTTGCCTGAGCTGACACCACTGGTCATTTAGTAGCTGTCTCAGTCATCAGAGGGACTATCTCAGTACTGCATGCTATGTTCAAATACCCTTGAATTATTAAATAATAACCCCCAGGCTTAAGAGCAGTGATGCTGCCAATTCAGACAAGCCAAAGACAATGTTCTTAACTAAGGAAAGGAAAGGGAACTGCCTGCTTCAGTTGCTAAGATGTGTGGTAATAATTTACCTGTGAATTATCAAGAAGAAAAAATAACTTTGGGCTAAGTGTGCTCTCATTTCAAACTAAAATTTATGACCAGAGAAAGGTATAGTGCTAGGGAAGAGATAAAGATGTTAAATTGTAGGGCCAAGTACTAACCTTGTTTCAAGCATCCAGTTATATGAACTTAACACCCTTCAGCAGGGAGTGGGGGGTCAGTTAGGATACTATTGGAAGGTACAGTGGCTTTGTCCTAAAATCATGCTGTCTTAGTATCCCTATAAGGTACCCTTCAAAAATTAATGAGACAGCTGTCCTCCATAAACCACGACAGCACCTTCTTTAGTTTTAAAAAAAATAGTTAAACCATTCAGCACTAAGAAAGAGTTCTGAAGGCATTTTCAATTTCCTCCATGGTTACCCATAGTTTTATCACCTTTGGTTGAATTGTTGTTAATTTACATTTTATTAAACAAATAAGTTTTAATCCTAGAGTAGAATATATACTGGCTCAAATCTGTAAATGTATTTTTGGCAAATGTGTATATTATCTCCAACCTTGTACAGACCAACAAAACATTTGCCAATACTGCCATATATTTCCTTGACGGATGAATACGATTTCATCCTATGTACATTTCAAATTTTATCACTATGAATTCCTTTCCTAATTTATTAGCCATTCACTTACTCAACTACCATGCCTCGAATCACAGCTCAGCTCAAACTCCATGTTCTCTGAAACACCCATTTCCTCATCTCTCTGTGTGACTGATTAAAATCATCCGTGATAGCTCTGTCTTAAGTACACCACAGCACTCACCAAAACACCATTTTATTCTCTTCTTAGTTTTCCTCACACCAGAGGAGGGAGAAAGGAGAGAGTGACAGAGAAGATGGAGAGTGGGAGAGCTGTGGGCAAAGGCGGAAGGGTGAGAAACTGAAGACCATGTATTAAGGTACAAGAAGTCCGGGATCAGCGCCCTCTTCTGGCCTCTAGGGGAACTGCATGGCAGCATGTGCGGCAGATACATGCATGTGAGCAGATACTCATACACATAAAATAATAAAAAATTAAATTAATCTTTTAAAAAGGAACAAGAAGTACCATATATGCAAGTTTAGCCTGAAACGATTTCTTATTATAGGAACACAGAAAAATAGTTGATGTGTTTGAAAGGAATATTGTAACTAATCAGGAGTGAGATAAGCTGTGGTTAGAAAATGAGGGTGTTGAGGATTCCCGCTGAACGTGGAGAGACTGAAAGGTAATACAGCTGGGTGTCGTAGCTCATGCTTGCAGTTCTAGCAGTGGAGAGGCTGAGGCAGGAGGGTTGGAAGGTCAAGGCTGGCTGGACTCCACAGGGTGTTCAGGCTAGACTCTACTGCGGAGTGAAACTTTATCTCAAAACAAACAGAATGTAAACACAATAATGTGCTTCCAGAGAGTTGTCAGCAGCCATGGGCTTTTTAAAAGTATTTTATATAGTATTTTTATTTTACGTGTATGAGTGTATTGCCTTCATGTGTGTATAAGTGCACCTATGTCATGCAATGCCGGAAGAGGTCAGAAGATGGCATAGATCCCCTGGAACTGGAGTTATAGATGGTTGTTTGCCACCATGTGGTGCTGGGAATTGAACCAGAGTCCTCTGCAAGGGTCATCAGTGCTCTTAACCACTAAGTTATCTCTCCAGACCCCAGCCATGGTTCTGAATCACCTTAAAAGATACTCCTGGGACTGGAGCAATGAAACAGCACTGACTGCTCTTGCAGAGGACCCCCATTCAGTGCCCAATGCCCACATGGCGACTAGCAACCACCCATAACTCCAATTTGGGGGATCCAATGCTCCCTTCTGACCTCCACAGGAATTGCCTGACACAGGTGAACTTGACGTACATGCAGGCTTAACACACATGCCTCTAGGCAGCATCAGGTGTTTCTCCAGTGGTCGTCCTGACATTCTTATCACTTGCTGGCTTTGCTTGTCATGGATTTCCAAACTCCTTCCGCTGTACGTTTGTTTCTCTTTCTCTTGACTTGAAAGACCTCAGCACTTTGACAGTTATAGGCCTGTTCTGTAGAAAGCTCTTCAATTTTTATTTCCCTGATATAACATCATTTTAATTTGACCTCCTAATAATGATGTTCGTGTTGATCCTGTGATTAGCAATGCTGTTTCTCTCAAAATTTCTTAACAGTTTTATGAAGAGGAATGTTGAAAATATTTAAATATTCTGTTTATCTCCAAACTTTTAGGCTACTGATTATATAATTACATTATCATGGACCCATATTTTCCTTTTTCATCAATGTATTATTTATTAAAATTATTTTGATGTGCAAATTGAATTTGATTTGGGAAGGGTTTTGGTAGAATTGGTCTAAGATGGTTTGAATTTGCATTTCCCTAATTTATAACTATGTTGAACAGTTTTTAAGATGTTTCTTAGCCACCTTTATTTCTTCCTTTGAGAACTCTCTGTTTAGATCTTTAGCCCATCTTTTCATTGGGTCCTTTATTTTCTTGCTTCTTTGTTTTATGAGTTCTTTATATTCTGGATGTTAAACCTCTGTCAGATGTGTCACTGGTGAAGATTTTTTCCCCATCTGTAAGATTTCTTTTTTACTTTCTTGATTGTTTCTTTTACTGTACAGAAGCTTTTTAGTTTAATGAGGTCCCACTTGTTGTTAACCTTAATTCCTGAACATCTGTATCAATTTAGAAAGTCCTTTCCTACACCTGTATCTCATAGGTTACTGCCAGTGTTTTAACAATTTCAGAGTTTCAAGTTTCACATTGAGGCCTTTGATCCATTTGGAGTTGACTTTTGTGCAAGGTGAAAGATAAGGATCTAGTTTCATTCTTCTACAGGAGGTGGAGATCCAGTTTTGCCAGCAGCATCTGTTGAAGATGCTGTCTGTCCTCCACTGTGTGTTCTTGGCACGGTTGTCAAATATCAGGTGGCTGAAATTGTGTGTGCTCAGGTTTGGGTCCTCAATGACGTTCCACTGACCTATGTGTCTATTTTTGTGCCAGTGCCATGTTTTTTATGACTATAGCTCTGTAGAGATCTGATATAGTAATCCCCCCAGCGTTGCTCTTTGTGCTCAGGGTTGCTTTGGCTATCCGGGGTCTTTTGTGCATCCATATGAATTTAAGGATTGTTTTTTCTAATTCTGTGAAGTATGTCATGGGGATTTTTACTGGGATTGCATTGAATCTATGTATTGCTTTTGGCAGGATGGTCATTTTCACACATTAATTCTTCCAAACCATGAGCATGGGAGGTCCTTCCATCTTCTGGTGTCTTCCTCAATCTCTTTAAAGATTTAAAATTTTCATTGTAGAGATCTTTGATGTCTTGGGTCAGGTCAAGATCTATTGTGAATGGGAGTGTTTCCCTGTACTCTTTCTCCAATTGCTTGTTATTGGTATATAGAAAGGCTACTGATTTTTGTAGGTTAATTTTGTAACCTGCCACTTTACTGAAAATATTAATCAGTTCTAGGAGCTGTCTGGTGGAATTACACGTCATACAATATCCCTACATGAGTCCGTAAGTACAGCTGAAGACTACATAACAAGAAACAGTGCCAGACAGGAGAAAGCTTCCTCTGAGTTGTTGGCCAGGTAGTCTAAGAGACTCCCAGAATTACACAGGCTATTACCACAGTCCTTGATTGCATCCCAGAACTTGAAGGTGAGACCCTATTGCTGAAGGACAGGACATACTTCGGACACAGGATTTGGAGCAATGGAGCTGGAACTGACCCAGAAACCACCTCCCCTGAGGCCAGCTCTCATAGCTTTGGAGATCACTGTGGAGGCTGATAAGGGAGAACATCCATCAATGGTCCAGCCCTAGCTTCAAGGCCTAAAAACCACATCAGTGACCAGCACAGCAAACAACATTGGTGTAGTAGTGGCACTTTTATCTTGGGGGTAATCAACAGCTACCTAATTGGACTTAACGCCCACTCAACAGGAGGAAACTTATGTCTGGTACTCTAAACCTAGCCAATACACATAGCTGGAGAGGCCATAGATCTTAGAGGAAACCTGCGGCTCTCATAACCCTAGATAAATATAATTTCTTACTATGTGCAAAATATGAATCCTTAAATTCACAGACAAGTATCCCAGTCACCACCCATCAAAGTAGCTTCTTTTTCAACAGACAGAGATTATTACAGTTACACCACTGGTCACACACAGAGATTCTCTGTGAATTACCGAAGCCTAATTGGCACATCTAGGATGCAACCTCTATACCTAACACTCACAGGACATGGAACAAGGGATAAAGAGAATGCTAATGCATCTCTCAGTTCCCATCAATGAAGCTCCCACATGCAACAGAGTGCCAGGAACACAAAAGGCCACAAATGGCCAAAATGCAGAGAGTGAGAGTTGGCAGAGTGTGGGTCCTTGGACAGGGCTCCTATATTGAGATCTACCTACTCAGGTCTCAGGGACCATTGTGGAAGAGGAGGCAGAAAGATGGTAAAAGCAAGGGAGGATATGCATGACCGTATGGAAATAGTCCTTCAGGTGCCTGGAACCCTTCTCATACAAACCTACAGCAATGGTGTCAACACGCACAAGATCCATGCAAACTTAAGCAGACAAAAACTCAGGACAGAACTGTGGAAATGAACAGCAAGTCCCGATCTTAGTCAAGGAATTATTGGTAGATGATTACTGCTGGGTGAAGAAGATCTAATCTTCTTGAAGGGAGAGAATCTAGATAGGCTGACTAAACCCTGGTGGATGAACTTGCACTAAGGAACATGTCAGAACACTAACTTTACATAATTGGCCTTAATACAAATGACAGAATTGTGAACTCCACTTGGGGGGGGGGGCTATGGGAGGGTGCCAAAGGGGGAGGCAGAATTGGGCTATAAAGATGATTTTGTGTATGGGATTCACAAAAAGTTCAGTAAATTTTTTTTTTAAAAAAGAATTGCTCTAAGAGTTTTGAATTCCTTTCACTATTGCAACATGGCCCAGGCTTCTTAGACATTTGTTGTCCAAGTCCTGAAATCAACATTTTTCGATCCTTTGAATGTGGGTATATATACACGCATGTATGTGTGTGTTCATGTCTGCGTGTGTTTATGTGTATGTATGTGCATCACACAAGCACACGTGCATCAGTGTTCAATGTATTTACATAAAATACTATATTTATGTATACAGTTATGTGTCTGCTTTTACCAGGTTTACACCGACAATGCTTAGTTCATCTTTGGGGTTTAACCTCTATTGCAGCCCTTTTCTAGCAGTAAGGAACTGATTCCCATCCCTGTAGCACGTTTATTTAGATCATCAGCTACTCTGCATGTAGCCAATATCCACCCATTCCACATCCAAAGGCTCAAGTCAGCTTCCATGTCTGCCTCACTGGGATTTTCATTTCTATAATCATCCCTCTCATCTCGCTGAGACTCTGACATCCTATACAAGACCAACACTTGCGAGGGTCTTTCCTGCTCCCTGGCGCTGCATAGGTTCCTGGTTTACGTGGTAAAGCCCTCTCAGCCTGATGGATTTTGACTGCCAGCTCATCCTGGACACCTGTGATACTCAAATTAGAGGGAGAGGGAGCATGGAAGGAGAAAAAAAAATGTATTGTGTGATGATCTGTGCTACATTTGAGTGTCAATAACCATTATTCAAAGCCAAGGAACATTTCTTACAAGTACCAGTGTTAACTTGTTCATATCAAGCAAACTATAAGCATTTATTAAGCATCTGCTCTGTTGTTCCACTGAGATGATTTGAGAAGACTGTGAAAAGGTCCCTGCCATGAAGCTTCTTGGAAGGAGATGGAAAATTGAAGAGGAAATAAAATAGTAAAAGGGCATTTTATATTCTATAACAACAGAATGCAAAAGGGAAAATATATAGCTATTAGATTCTCAGATGTAATACCCAGTTTGCTTTAAGGTAACCTTTCTGTGCCTGGTGTGTATGCCTTTCTTTCTAGTTCCTTTGAAGCTCACTCAGCACCAAGCCTTTCATTAATGATTCAGAGTGGATGGTGGTAAGTTTTGTTTTGTACAATTGCTATAGCACACACCATCATTATTCTGATATCCCTGTCATCAGAATCAAAGTGTAATAAAGTCCCAACATAATGTCAAAAAAAAAAAAATCAGCACTTACAAACCAACGAAGAAAGAAAGAAATATACAATAAAATCTGAAAAGTGCTTCTCGAAGGGTGGTCTGACTCAGGAACATAATTTATATTTTAAACACAATTTCCATAAAGATCTATATTTCCTTTTAAGAGTGGGAAGGAGCTAGGGAGGGAACTCAGTGGTAGAGAGCTTGTCTGGCATGTGTGAGGTCCTGATTTTAATCCCCAGTACAATAAAAGAAAAGTGGGAAACACAAAGCTTACCTCCGTGCTCTGGCTGGGAGACTGGATGTTATGACAGTGGAGTTTGGAACCCTGCAGTATTCTGCAAGAGTTTTGCAAAATCTGAGCAAGCACCCATGGGGAGAGGAAGAGGGAGGAGCCAGGACAACAGAAGACAACAGCAGTCCCGAAGGGCGGCTCTACAGGAGTGGAGAAAACAGGGAGCAGCTGCTGCCAGGTGCTGCTGTTAGTTGTTGTGATTTTTGATAGCTCAAAGGGAAACGGTTTCACCTGCGTCTTCTTCTAGATAGATTAAAAAATGATTCATGCCTGAACAGTGTGATAGCTGAAGGGTAAATACCGACTCATGTCCAGAACTAGCAACAACAAATATTATTACAGCCACACATAGTTATCACACATACTACCTCTGTCAAGATGAAACTGCACAGAAATGATCATAGAGGCCATTACTTGTGTTTCTTACCTTCTACAGGCCTGACTGACCGTCATTACTTCCAGGTACTATCATTTATGATCAGTCACAACCTTATGGAAGTGCAAAATATTTCCTTCCATAGGAAAACAGGAAGTCACAGCTGATGCTCGAATGCTCTGGTTATTCTCAGTCATGGACAACAGCTTCTACATGGTCGTCTCTTACAAAGACATGGACCTGTTGTCATTCAGTGGCCCCCTCACCCTGTCCTCTAAAATCCTCTTATCAGTAAACTACTAGAACTGTTGGCTGTCAGGGTAGATGTTGACTCAGGGTGGACTAATCCGACCCTCCCTTCAGGGAAGTTAAACTTAATGCTCCTAGAGGTCTCAGAGAGGACAGTCGATGTTCAAGGACATCGAAATGTGAGTCCTGCCTCATGTGGATATGTAATCCTTACATGAAAAAGCAGGAGGAGAAGTAGCCTGCAAAGAGATTATAAATTGAAGCAAACAGGCTCTGGAGAAGAGAAACCTGTCCCTGCCAGTCTATTCTGAACCCCTATCTGCCCTGCAATTTGGCGAAATTTCGCTCACCCCATGTAAATAGCACATGTGATGATCTGTGCTACTCTGGGTACTAGTAAGCATTATTAAAAGCCAAAACATTGTCATATCACCCTGTCTTTTAATTAAATTCAGTAGGCTTGAAGAGAGTTAAGGAGATATTGGCTCTGCAGATAGTACAGCTGTCAACTCTATGAAGTTATAACCCTACTCTATAACCTGCTGTTCCTACCACTTAGCATTCTTGTAGAAACAAAAGTGAAATGTTTACATACCTGGAGGTCACCAATAGATTATTCCACTCCCAGGATCACAGGCTTAATGCCGAATGATTCTATTTTACTAAAATTCAGCATTGTCAGTCCTAGATCAAGCAGCCAGATAGAAGGGACCCAAGATTACAAACTCCCATCACAGCTCAGAATATCTCCACTTGAGAAACTGAGGGGAGATCTCAAATTTGTTCTCTATATAGGTCCTATGGAAGAATCTAATTTATCCTATGACTGTGTATGTGATATGCTAATGAATGCATCTGCTCCCCCAAATCATTGCTTTGGTAGCCTTTGGTTTAAATTGATCAGAGGTGCTGTGTGCAAAGATTTTCAATGTGCCCTGATAGCATTATGTATGAGCTTGCCTTAAGTAAGCTGATCTTCCTAGCTTAATTTTCTCTTGCTCACCATATTGTTTTGCTTTTATTGTTTCATTTCAATGTTAATGCTTGTTGTGCTTTTCAGTTTTATTATGTGTATACAATTTATGGTGAATATACTCAGATTCCTCCTGAAGAAAATTCTTGATGCATAATAGTGAATTCAATCATTACAGTAGAAAATTGTTTACAAGTTCATCTTCTTTGCTGAATTACCAGCCAGAAATGCTGGTCACTACAAGATGACTCACCAGGACAGTGCTGTCAGACTGCTTACTGTGGGGGTTGGGGGAAACCATGCCCTGTACCCCATGAAAGGACTCAAGAATCCAGGTGCTCAGGCCTCTTTGTAGATCTTTGATTAATACTTTCAGTCCGAGCACCTACCCTCCAAGCACAAACCAGGAGTAAAGAAATGTTCCCTGTACTTGAGGAATGTAATCACCGGGAGGGACAAACAAAAAGTCAGAGAACTAGAGTAACAGGAAGATCAAAGAAAGCTCTAGGTCACACAAGCATTTGTGGGTAACCACGGAGGATGGGTAGCTGTTTCTGGGACGGGACAAATATGAGATGGTATGTGAATTGATCCTTGAAGGATGTAGAGGTTGAAAAGACAAAAACAATCCTCGGACACCCAGGTCAAATGGGCCACCAGAGAAATGGGTAGATGCCTAAAGGTTCAGCTTTCGTTGGAGACTGAAAGACCAATCAGGAAAATCTCAATTGGTCAGAAGCTGTCGGCGGCTTTATCTGTTTGAAAAGTCATGTTGACGAGTAGACTTCAGTTATGTATTTGATTATATGCTCTTTGCTCATAGACTGGTCTTCCGACTTTTCAAATGCTAATCAAAGTGAAAATAATCCTAACAGAAGATGTAAATTGAGAGTTTATGAGAATGGAAGCGGGGATGTGCTGTGGAATTAAACACTGAAATCTAGTGTTGCTTTTGCAAACAAACACAGTTTCAAAGGATGCGAAATAGTTTCATGCTCCACCAGCTAAGATGGCCAACTGACACCTGATTTTTGTTTTTTTAAAAGTTTTTGCACCTCTTTAAGTCTGTGCTTGAGCTCAGATGTCTCCAAGCTTGCCTAGACCTTCATTGTTGGCCCTCTAAAATATTTTATTGAAATTTTTTATTTTCATACAATATAATTTGATAACATTTAGACCTCCTCCCTAGACTGACCCCTGCCCAATTCACTATACTCCACTATATATACAATATGGCTTATAGAGTCTGATTTGTGTCCCCATATGTCCTACAGGGTGGGTCCATCCACTGGGCACCAGTGGATGGACCCAAACCTATAAGAAACTGTCTCCCCCTCCCCCAAGTAGCCATCAATTGCCATAAGGTCCTTAGGTGGGGTTGGGATTTAGTACCCACTTCCCTTTGTCCATGCTGGGATTTTGTCTGGTTTGAGCTTGCCTAGGACTTGTGCATGCTGTCACCATTACTGTGAGTTCAAATGAGTAATTGACTAGCTGTCTGGAAAACCTACTTCTTTCTCTAGCAATTTCAAGGTATCAGGACCTATACTGAGGTCCTCAATCCATTTGGAGTTGACTTTTGTGAAGGGTGAGAAGTATTAATAATTTCATTTGTATGCCTACTGAAATTCAAGTTTCCCAGTCTTATTTAAAGGCCTTTCTTGCACCTATATCTTGTAGGGTACTACCTATGTTTTCTTTTAACAGTTTCAGCATTTTAGGTTTAACATTGAGGTCTTTGATCCATTTGGAGTTGACTTTTGTGCTGGGTGAGAGATAGGGGTCTCATTCCTCTACAAGTAGAGAGCGAGTCTTACCAGCACCACTTGAAGATGCTGTCTTTCCTCCACTGTGTGTTCTTGGCACCCCGTTGTCAAATATCAGGTGACTGCTATCAGGTGTCTGGGTCTTCTACTTTGTTCCATTGATCTGCAAATCTGTTTTTGTTCCAATACTGTGTTGTTTTTATGGCTACGGTTCTACAATACAGATTGAGGTCTGGTATGGTAATCCCCCCAGCATTGCTCTTTGTGCTCAGGGTTGCTTTGGCTATCCAGGGTCTTTTGTGTTTCCATATGAGTTTTAGAATGGATTTTTCTATTTCTGTGAAGAATGTCATGGAGATTTTGATTGGGATGGCTTTTGGTAGGATGGTCATTTTCGCTGTATTAATTCTAGCAATCCATGAGCATGGGAGGTTTTTCCATCTTTTGTGTATTCCAAAATCTCTTCAAAGATTTAAAGTTTTCACTGAAGAAGTTTTAATGCCTTTGGGTTTCCTCCCAATTTTTTGAGGCTATTGTGAATGAAAGTGTTTCCCTGAGTTCTTTCTCTGATTGCTTGTTATTTGTATATACAAGGGCTATAATTTTTATAGGCTCTGATTGATTTTGTAATCTGCCACTTTGTGGAATGTGTTGATCATTTCTAGAAGTTTTCTGCTAGAATTCTTGGAATCTCTTATATATAATATCATACACCTTGGAGTATGTCCTTTGCTTTCACTCTCACTTTTAAATCACATTTTCACTACTACCATGACATGTCTTGCTCAACTCTTTGTTCAGGAGACAAAGAACCTGGACATCGCTTCTGAGAGCACCTCAAGATCCCTCCGTAACACCACACACCCTTGTTTTCTCAATGAGTGTGCAAAATGAAAGGGCTGGAATTTGGTACACTCAAATTATTAGTTTTCTGTTCGGGTGCTGAGACATTTTCTATCACTTATGAAACCAACCAACATGACCCAACATGAAACAGATGAACTCAAACATAGTTTATAGCTTTTGCCCAAGAGCTACTTCACTCCAATTCCAGGAGGATTTATATTTAGCAAATCACATTTCTTCTCTCCAGTGTGTATGACAATATGCTACAAGGAGAAACATAACTAAAACTGTCAGAACCAAGCCAGCGATGGCACATTTGTTTGACAGAGCAAATCCAGGCTGACATATTGTTATAACAAAAGCAATGCAGTCAAAGGGCCACAGGGCAGTCACTCTGACACCTTAAGGACCTGATCCGGCAGTGGAGCGGCAGCTCTGGCTCAGGCAGATGCATCTGAAATGCCTAAGACACGTCTTGTGTTGCGCTTACGTTTGCATTTTCCCATTTGTTTAAAGGATGCCTAATAGTTTATGTTCAGAAGTGGCAGGGCAGAGAGAGGTGAAGACCTCAGAGTCGTACACTAATCCACTGGAGAGAACAGAGGAGGGACTTCACACAAAAACATTTGCTTCCCAGTCATCTACAGGGCTCACTCCCCAAGGAAAACCAGCTCATGTGCAAGTGAGCTCTCTGTCCAGGAGTTGCACGCTCAGTTCTTATTGTTTATTTTGCTCTGGAAACTTTGGTGAAATAACACACCTAATCTTATCAGCTGGAACTGAAACACAGTGTCTCTTTCCCTGCTTTTCAGTTGGG